TTGTCAACAGGCAGAAGGCAATTATGTATACCTAGAAGAATAGTTATAGACCAACATCTTGTATATATATATTTATGCATAGGGTCGTAAAAAGCAATTAAGCTATGCACATGTGTGGGTGGTCTTTTCTTTATTTTGTTCGTTTCTTTGAATTCCCATCAACTTTTCGCATATTACATTTTAAGCCGGATATTACAAAATGGCCGCTCGATTGATTGTGCTACACATAATTGCAACCGCCCCCTCCCTCTTCCCTCTCCCCGAGCACCCTCTTTTCCAACAATTTGTTAGTTACGCCCCCTCTTACTATATGATTAAAGCGCACATCAAAAGACGCTGCCAAAGAATTTGCATACTTTTGGGCGCCCATCACGAAATTAGTTTACAGTCAACACCAGAAGTCAGCGCACACATCAGCTTCTAAGTGGAAGCTTAAAAAAAAATAAATTTAAATTAAACAGGCAGTCAAAAAATAAGAAGAAACCAGATATTGACAGCACAAGTGTCGCTTTTGATTCCTTGCCTCGGGCGGGTCTTCGAGTTTTAATATGAAATGTTTTGCAATATGAGAAAGACTTTTGCCAGGCTGTAAGGAACATGTATATACACCACTAAATTCAATTTGATGTCTGAAAAGCGATAATTATCGATAATATACAAATTAAAGAAGTGGAACAGATGGACGTGGCTAGATTAACTCAGCTCGTCTTCCTGATCATGTTTATCTATATATATATTTACTTTATAAAGAAAAGCAAAATACTCTCTTACCTCAGCATCATATGACATATGACATATAACTCTCGTTAACACTTTGCAGTGTACTTCAGTTTCGGCTTTGCGTACATCCAAAAGCTCCTTCTGGGTCTTTTCATATTTTGTTGTTGTGTACTTTTGACTTAGCTGCCAAAGCAACGGCCGCCGCCGCCAAATGTAATTATCTAAAAGTTTTTACTAGTTGTGGGCAAAATATATAAAAAAAAAACCTATAAAGAGTCAACTTGAAAACGGCTAAAGGAAATTTGAAAAAAATAAAATTAAAAATAAAGCCAAAAGCAGCCGGCGCGCTGCGCGTCAGCCGCAGGCGTCTCTTGGCGGCTTTTGCGGCTTGTTTCTATTTGTCTGGCAGCCGCTAAAAAGTAGAAAATTAAATTTGTTTCAACTGCAGACTTTGCTCAGGTTGGCTTGCGAGGGTGGCGCATAAAAAGACGCCGGAAGCTGATTTTTCACTAGCCAAAAAAAAAAGCAAAAAGCGGCTGCGTCTGACGGCGACTTCATTTTTTTTTCTCCTTTCTTCCGTTACTTTGGCGCGTCGCCATTTTGCGGCGAATCGAAAATGTTTGCCACAAAGAATTGCAAAATGGAAAAAAAATAGAAAGTTGTCAGGCCATTTATAACAGTTTAGTGCCAATTTTCGGGCATGCTAATCGCATGGAAATGACTGAGACGTGCCACGGACCCAGCCCCGCCCCAAAAGAGAATAAAATGTATGTTTTATTTTATTGTTTTGCCCCAATGCGTCAAAAATGTGACACGAGAACAATAAAGATTTACACATTTTACAAATGAGCTAAGCCGAATTTGTCAGGAAAGCACCCGAATTGATGGCCCTCATGCCTAATTTGTCCCATTTCACAGTGTGAAACGATGCAAATGAAACGTGACACATTTATTAATCAAGTGTCATATGTAAACCGGCTTTTAAAATGGGTTAATTCCATGTGTCTTTTAGCCTATAAAATGGAATTGGAAATATATTGGGTATCACATTCAGATTTATAGCTAAGCTATTGACAATTGTCATGTGTGTGCTACAAAACGGTGGAGCAACTGGAAGGGAACATTAAACTTTGGCGTAGCGGCTCTTTTATACATAATATTTTAAGCATATAAACAAAAGAAAAGGATTTTTAGAATTTACAAAATCAAGTAAAACGCTGAAATTGGAACATAAAAAGCTTTCATCTGTTTAGATGATCCCACTTGACCTGGAACAACTGTAAAGAAATCTAGATATTACAAGAGCTCGACTAAACTGACACCTAAATTGGAGAAACAATGGAAACGAAACAAAAAGCTGATAAAGCTGTTGCGAGAAATATTACAGATACACAGATGCATCTGATATAGAATTTTGTATGTAAATGGGTTTATATAGTAAATATCGGGATATAAAAAATGCATTGCAGGGGAATAAATTGCGAGATAACAAAAATGAAATTGAAATGAATATTTTGTGCAATTTATTTTCACTGGAATTTAAATATTCATGCGTATGCCAGCAACAACGTATATAGAGTGTATATATGCATGTGTACATTGTTATGGGCCTCAATTCTCCAGAGGCACACACACACGTACGTATGAAATTGAAGCTGTGTGTGTGCATATTTAAGAGGCGCACCATCTAAAACGGAAGCTGTTGAAAAGCTGCTGCCTGAAAATCTTTGCATTTTATTTTTATTTCCTTCTCTTTTCTCTTTTTTGTTGGGCAAAAAATTTACCCCGACCCGACGCTCGCTTTCAAGGCTCGATTCGGCTCCAGAGCCGCTTCGAGCATGATTTTTAAATATTTTATAACAATTTGTGTGAAAAGTAAATAGCAAAAGCCCCAAACCTCTTGCAAATTTCCTGCTTCCTAACTGGAAAAGCTATTAGCGTTGAATTGTGTGCTGATTGAAATTGAAAGGCAGCTGTTTGAACAGGTTTGCCTGAATTTGAGAGCCGAGAACCGGCCCGAGTTAAATGATGTGTGCCAAAAGCACTTGAAATCTTTATGAATACCAGACTAGCGAAAAAATATTATATCAAAAGTGACGAATTTCTATTGTGGGCAAGCTTGATTTATAAATCTATGGACAATTTAAGCCAAAAAGACGTTCAATTAACTTGAAACTCGCATATGCCCAGGAGGCCATATTTCTGAAGCATAAGCATAAGGAAATTAAACAAACAAAAAGCAATACCGGCAATTACTGCTCGATTTGATCCGGTGATCTTTCGCTAGCTAGTTCAACTAAACGCAACTGTACCGCATTTAGCTGAAAGACACCCCAAAGTATGCAACACTTTTTGTTGCCCTGCACAAAATTCACTTAGCCATTGGCAATTTGTCTGTGTGTTGCATGCAGCAACACCTGACTTAACCATGGTTACATTTAGAGGTTAAAGTAAGCTCTCTCAAGGGTTGTCTTTCCTCCCCTCCCTCTCGCCAAGGGGGAGGTTGCTTGCAAATCCCGTTAGCAACCGCCCAAAAATACTTGTTATCGCTTATGTTGTCTCTTACGGTCTGCTGGATTTTCGAACACACACAATTTTTGGGCCCAACGATGCGTTGCCTAACAATATGTACGAGAGGGTGGCCGGGTTGCAGTGGAGGGGTTGTGTAAAAAGAAAAAAAAAAGGAAATGTGTTTCTAATTCTCTGGCTGCAATCACTTTCGCTTAATGCTTAATGCTATCTGCCTTGATTTGGGTTCAAGTTCAGGTTTTCCATCTCGAACTAAATGTTTGTAATTTGCCAAAAGTTCTTTTTCTTAGTATGGCTAAGCCCGGCGGGCAAAATAGGGAGAATCAAGCAAAGTCCTCAATAAAAATTACCAATATTTACTTTACAAAATGACAGTTCCACTTGGATCTACTCCTAAGGGCGAGCATGGAGCGGGGGCGAGGGCCAGGCCTCAAATCCCCTGTCAACTTTGCTACTTAATAAAATATGAGTGCCAAAGTGGAAGATACAAACAGGCCAAGTCAGGCCAGGACTCGGGGACAGCAGAAAAAATAAACAACGCGCAGGAGGAACTAGGAAGAAGGGGCAACAGGGAGAGAGGGCGACAGGGCGACAGGGACAAGGACGTGCCACTAATGGCTGCCAAACTCAAGTGCCGCCGATTCGGCTTGCCAAAGGGATAAAGAAATAAATAGAAAATGCAAATAGATGGCAAGACATTTGGCAGAGGACCTGCGCTGCAAGCCAGACGAAAACTTTTGCCATGTCCTGTGGGACTGATTGTGGGGGCAGCTCTTCTCGCCTGCTGCTGCTGCCACTTTTGCCACTCAAGGACATGCGTTGGCCATAAACTGTTGATTTTTATGTAAGTTCGTGACGCGACAGTAGCCAACAGGATCTTGTGTGACCCCCCCGCACTCTCTTTCTCTCGCCCACCTCGCTCAGGTGTGTGGCCCCAAAGAGCTTTTGTCTACCACATCGCGCTCTGCTCGCTGTCGCCCCCGCTTTGACATGTGTCAAAGTTTGTGCTGTGACTGTCATTTCGGCCAGCGCTAGGTCCAAGGTCACTCACGCACAGCCGACCCCTTGCCCGCACGCTCTCCACCTGCTTTGATATTTTGGGAAACAGTTTTTGCGGCTGTGCCATTAGTCTTGAAATTATAGTGCCGCCCCCACTTCCGCCCTGCTGTTTATAAAGCAATTTCAATAGTTTTATGTTCTTCTACCCCATGTGCGTGTGCGTGTGCGTGTGCTAAGCGTGCATTTTACGACTTAATACATATGTGCGTACATATTAAGCGCCTGCTGCTATGCTACAATTTCTTATTGTCGCCACACATTATATTATGACCTTAGTCTGCTGTTTTCTATGAGTTTGTGACTTTCGTTACCATGTTTTATATTTTATGTTAGCCTTAAAGAACTTTCAGTAGCTATGTGCCTTGCCATTAAATAATCTCTAATGCTGCATTGTCTGCAAACAGAGCTGTTTGCTAATTCTTCTTTGTGTCGCTTTCGTCAATGTTTTCGCATTAACTCTTTAGAAAACAACCTACTTGATGCTCCTCTCTCTCTTTATCTTGCATTGCCTCTCGGATTTGTTTTTGCAATTCTGTTATGTGTCGCATTCGTAAACGTTTCTCCGAAAAACATTGTTCATTATTAAAATCAATATAATTTAATTGATTTCTCATAACTATTTGCTTTAATAAGAAAATCTGATTATTTAATTGAAATCTTTTTTAATCTTGATTTCTCTCTTTCTATTTTAGGTAAGTGACGACGTGCTTTCGCTTGCTTTGAGTCAGAATCAAGTAAGATACTTTTTATTTCCCATTTGTTTTTAGCTTTAATTTAAAAGTATTTATTGGTTGATACTCGCTTATCTGTAGTCTAACACCTTTGGAGCTCAACGCGCACATCCTTGTCTGGCTTCATAAATCAATCAGAGCGAGCGTCGCGTTTGGCTTCTGTTTGATATGGTGATGGTGAAGGCGGGAAGGTGGGGAGGGGGCAGCTGCTATGTAGGGAACAGCGAATTTGTTGTTGCTCCTGTCGAATGATGCAACAACATTCCCGACGCAAAGCAGTTAATTTGTCAAATGTCTGCACTTTATCACCATATCGTCAGACCTGGCAACAACACAACCAACCACTCCCACCACCCCCTCCCATGGGGCTAGTGCCGGAAAACGCATTACGCACTCAGGCATTTTGGGGCTCGCCTCTGTGAAATTTTGAAGCGATGCGCAATCAGAGCACTGATGCGATTCCCACAGGAACGAGAAAAGAGCGAAGAGACAAGTCAGAGGCTCGTCTGCATTGCCAGGAAGATTTAGAGAGACGCCAAAAGGGAGAGAGAGAGAGAGAGAGAGGGGGAGAGAGAACGGAGCTGCTAGAAAAACTCACTGGGAAGGCAATTTAAAGTTGCATCCATAACAGAAGCAACAACAACAGCAACAACAACAGAAACAATATAAAGCCTTTGGCCTGCAGGGAAATCTGTCCGGGCTAATGTTGTCCTGGCTCTGGTGCATCCTGTCTGGCACACTCCGCCCACCCATAGAGATGCTGCACCCGAAAGCGTAATTAGAAAAGTGCTCGCATGATAACTCACTTTTTGAGTTGTGGCAACCCTGCCACCCTGTCACCCACCTCCCTGTCCGCCTTTGGCTCGAACATTTAATAGCTTTGAAAATCAGCTATTAAATGGGAAAGCGAATGGTCACTCTTTCCCATCAAATTACCCAATCTATTTACATGGTCGCACTAATTGCCAGGATAATTGAGAGCTAAGCGCCGGCAGTGTGGGGCTGGGTGCGGCTGAGTGGCCAGAGTTGCCTACTGTCAATATGTTGCAATGCATAAAACAAAATATTTGCAACATTGGCAACATTTTTGCATGCAAAAAATGTCATCAAAATGCCATTACGGAGGGCAGGGTGGAGGATAGAGTGGTCCAATAGATGCCTAAAATGTATTCATGTTATGGAGAGTTCGGGCTTGGGATTTGAATAAAAAAGAATGCAATTTGTTTGGCTGGCCCACAATATGTAAATCATTAGAGTTGAAAGCGGACGCCAGTCCAATAAAAAGGAAGGAAAGCAAAAAAAATATTGCAATCTAGAGACTACAGCTAGGGTAATCAAAACCACCAGGGAAAACGGATTTAGGGGATTAGGGGATAAAGCAGAATACTGGCCGTGTTTCAATTATGGAATTCTCAACTTTAAAGTTATAGTAGTATTGGGTGAATTAATCCGGAATGAATAAAGGAGTTTGGAAAGATTGATTGACAGAGTTTTGGGAGAGTCGACCCCAAAGTGGCGTGGCGTCATAAGCCTGCGCAGCTAAGGCGGGTGAACGTCGAACTACCAAACGGGAAACCGCCGGCTCAAATCGAATTCTCGATGTTTGTTTTTCATTTAATGTGTTGTTATTAACACAGACTCCCTGTAATTTATTTGAGTAAAGAATAATAGAGAAAAATAAAACATTGGTTTGAACCAAACATTTCAATTTAACTTTTTAAACCGAATTTCGATTTTCTGTCTAACCCCAGCCCTAACCCACTCCATGCAGTCAAAAGCTTAGCTATAACAGAACGGAAATTAATAAAATTGAAAGAAATGTAAAATTGATGCCGCCCTGCCGCTAATGCCGGGTGCCAATTATGAGCACGCATCGCGTGCCTTGGCAACCCTTGCAACAGACCACAACTCTATTGTAGGGTTGATACAGAAAGAAACTCGTATTGCCACAATGTGCAACAGCCTGCGCATAATTTCTATATGTTGCTGCAACATACAATTAAAGCACACGGGCCGATGTGGACATGAAATCAACGCCTAATAAAAGGTCGGACACCAGCTTGACCAGAGTTGTCGCCCACCATTGCCACAAGCCTTACAGTTCCACGCATTGTTCATGTTGTATGCATTTCGGTCGCTGTGCGGTCCTCACTTGGCGCAGCCCCAGTAACAGACGCAGCTACAATGATGACGACGACGACGACGACGACGACAGAAACACCCAACGACAACAACATCAACAACCACAAACAGCAAGAGGAACAGCAACAGTGACGGGGACGGGGACGGCGACAACCCATACAAAACAACAGAGGAAGCGCAGTGGTCAGCGATGCAAATGGGATTGCATATGGAGCATTAGGCCTGGCTTTGGGAGTTGGGCCAAGGGTGTAGGGTATGTGGCTGGCCGGGGTGCTAAAGGGGCGCTACCAACAACGTCATCAACAACAGTCTCCGACTCGCCAGCAGCTCTAATGACAACCGCACGTCATCAGTGTTGTCGTCATTGTTGTTGTTGCTGCCGCTGTAGCTGCTGTCAACGCCCACATTTGACACGCCCAGACAGCCAAGCGCATACATTATAAACATGCATACATCCAAAGCGATAGACACTAGTCCCACAGTAGTGCAAGGGCAGTAGAAATCGACTTGAAAGCAGTTGAGTAAATAAAAACGTAAGAGAAGACAAAAAGAATTTTATAAAAAAAAAGTTTGTAAATATAGTAAAGTGGGAAATCAAGTTGAAAAGATTAGAGAATCAAAACTCTTCAAGACTGTGGCCCCAATGTAATGAATTTCCAACTGTCACTTGAGGAAATATAGATTTTCTTTTTAACTAAAAGGGAAAAGTGCCCAATAAGAGAAAAACTGTACAGATTCATAAGCTTATTATTTACTTCTTAATATTCTAACTAAAATTATTTCAAGCCCTTATATTATTTTTTATTTTTTTTATTTCATATATACAAATTAAATATATATACAAATTAAAAGTACTAGCAACTGAGGGCTAAAATTATTTTTAGCCACTGTTAAACTAAATGTTAACACAATTTTAAAAAAGTTGTAAAATAAATGCAAAGAATATTATTTTTAAAATGAAATGTTAATATTTGTAGAACATTTGAATGCCAGAAAATGCACATTGTACCACTGTGCCATGGTGTACAATGTATGTGCGTTGAAAAATTTCTGTTGTAGCCGGCCGTCGTTGGTTTTAGCTATTGTTGTTGTTGTTGTGGTTGCTGTTGTTGTTGCTGTTGTTATTGTTGTTGTTGTTAGATGCCCATGTATCATTGGCATTCACGTTTTTTTAAGTTTCATTCTGGTTGGGATATTCCTTTTGGAAGTACAATAACAGGCAACGCAGGACGTCTATTTTGATGCCTCTCACAGTGTGTCTCTCTCCGTCTCTCCCTCTGACTGACTCTAGCTGTCCCTGCTTCTGTCTTCTCTAACCCTTTCTCGCTGGCTTTTGCCTGACATCTCCAGCTGCGTTGCATAATCGCGTCTAATGGTTGTCATCATTAAACAATGTTGCTCGTTAGTTTTGCAACGCGACGAAAATTCAACGCATTTTGGTGGCTCATTTGGGGGGCAAACAAAAGAGGCAACAGACTGGGCGGAGGGGTGGTGTGGTGGGGGGCTGCGGAGTTAGATTTGGCTATGTCGCTATTGTTAACCTATTGACGCTTTTATTGTGTTTACTGCATTAGAGCCCGGCCCGAACAGAAATAACCCAACCAACAAGAGGCCAACACATTTTCCTCCACATTGCGTGTGAGTGTCTGCGTGTGTATGTTGTCATTAAATGCGATTTCATTTTAAGCTTGGGCTATTTTAATTTGTTGCCAATTGGCATGCAAATGCTGGCAATAGCAATAACAACAACAACAACAACAATTGCCACGAAAATTGCAATTTAAATGCGTTGGGAAAATTTGTTGCTGTTCCTGCTGCAGCCTTAGATATTGTCATATTATTGGTGTGTGCATGCGTGTGTGTGAGAGTGTGTGTGCAAGTATTTTTACGACTAATTTGCGTAATTTGTCAGCGCATTTAGTTTGAATATCCCAAAAAAAAAACAGCTGAAAAAGGCTTTTAAAAAATCTTCGCATACGTTTTGGCTCTGCGATAAATAAAAAGCAAAACAAAAGGCTTAAATCTCTATATATAAAACTGTTTGTCCTGACTGACTGACTGACTGATTGGTGATCAACGCACAGCCCAAACCGAAAGAGATAGGAAGCTGAAATTTTCACTGTAGCTACCTTATGTGATGTAGGTGCACGTTAAGACGGGGTTTCGGGAAATTCCATCCGCAAGTGTGGAAAAATCGCGAAAAACGTTTGCATGTAACTTTTTTGTTTACCATCCGATCGGCCTCAAGCTTATTTTCAAAGATCTTTGTTCAAATTCATTTGAGGGGTGTTTCACACTTTAAGGAAAATCCGTTCCTCCTTGGTGGAAATGGAGGTCAAAGATTTGGTGGGTGACGTTTCGCGCTCAAATTCATTTCCAAAGATCTATAAGAAAAATCATTTGAGACGTGTTTCACACTTTTCGCAGAATCCAAAGTTTTTCGGGTGGAATGCGACTCAAAGATTTGTTGTGCGAAGTTTTAAATTGTGTCCGATTTGCTTCAAACTTATTTTCAAAGCTCTACTTAAGAATGTAATGAATACGTGTTTCAGCGATTTGGGAAATTCCACTCGCAACAGTGGTAAATTGGCGGAAAACGTTTCTATGAAAAATGTTTGTTTACCGTCCGATCAGTTTCAAAATCATTTCAAACTTTTTTAAGAACATTGATTTTATAACATACGTGCCACGGGCAAGGCCGGGTTATACCCGCTAGTTATATATATTACAAAAACTATTCGTATATAACAAAAACTATTGCTTTAAACCAATTTCATTTGGCCCTGAAAGCCTAAGACGCAACAAATCGCGAATTTCTCCAGTTTTCTTCTGGGGCCCATATTAATTTTCATTAGAATGTT